CCCATCCTGGCCACAAGAGGTTCCCAGTTGAGCATATATGCGAAGGTGTACCGATTCAGGTAAAAGTCAATCGACGGATACCCTGCGAATCGGGTCCTCCTTAACACTCTCCACCCACAGAATTTACCCTCAGCTGGGAACCTCTTGTGGCCAGGATGGGTAATTCGATGGAAGTGTCGCAAGGTTCTCTGTAGGATCGACTCCAAGAGGTGTTCTCAGGACTGACACACATTGTGTCCTTGGGAAAATATCCAGTAAGAAAAAGTGTGCACCCAAGGAGATTCGAACCAGTATCCTGCCGCTGACGCCATATGTTTAAAGGAATGCCCGCCCGACGGTGGCTTGCCTCCTAGATGTAGAAGATGTAGATTTTGCCGTAGACACTCTTGTCCATGAGCACGTTGAGATGGGAAGGTTGCTTGTTATTGCAGAAGCGGGTCTGCTACATGTCTGAGGTAAAGCGGATTGCTCTCAACCTGGGGGCACGCAGATAGCTAAGTCCCGATGGGGCACGTCCTAAGAGGGTATACCTCCTGACGTCCCCCATCTTAATCTAGACCGACTGTGTACCCTATCTGTGCCATACAGCAACACTCCTTAACACTGGCTAGTCAAACGGTTGAACAATTGGCGACAAACGTTTCACGCACGGGTTCGAACCCCGGCGACGCACTTCCTCAAACATTATTATGTCCTTTTCAGGCAGCACCTGGCGAGGGGTCCGGCCCCGGAGATCTCTGCTCTCAGCAAACCATAAAAACCCAAGTGATCCGGCCGGGTGCTAATGAGCTGAGCGTATGTCTATCTTGTATGTCTATCTTTTATTCGATAAAGTTACAATGAGCTGAGCGTATGTCTATCTTTTTTTATTGGATAAAGTTACACCATTTGACACGTCAGCGCTGACGTATGCCTATCTTTTATTCGATAAAGTTACAATGAGCTGAGCGTATGTCTATCTTTTTTTATTGGATAAAGTTACACCATTTGACACGTCAGCGCTGACGTATGCCTATCTTTTATTCGATAAAGTTACAATGAGCTGAGCGTATGTCTATCTTTTTTTATTCGATAAAGTTACACCATTTGACAAGTCAGCGCTGACTTGTCAATTGCCAAATGGTGTAACTTTATCGAAGAGCAGCAACAACAGCAACAACAACAACAACAGCAACAACTAACTATCATCATTGTATTTATTTGCTGCACAGACTTTGCGCGCCGAAATATGCGTGCGACAGCTTTAACCTAACTAACCACTTCGTTCGGTGGAAAGCGGATTTAATTTCTGTTCGATACGGTGTCGGGAGTGCTGAGGGGGGAGGGCTTGGCCCTTGTGGTTGCAGGTGGCAAGGAAGTAGGAACAGGGGGTGGCAGTGTCGGGGGTCTGGGGGAACATGGGCTTGGGTGGGGGGTGCCTCAGAAAGAGCAAGACGGCGGGTGTTTCTCTCTTGGTGTGACCGGTGGCAGTATCGATCAGCAATGCCCCATAGACTTTTTTTGCGCGCCCGAAAATGCGTGCGGCAGCTTTAACCAAACCACTTCGGTGGAAAGCGGATTTCTGTTCGATACAGTGTCGGGAGTGCCGTGGGGGGAGGGCTTGGCCCTTGTGGTTGCAAGTGGCAAGGAAGTAGGAAAAGAGGGTGGCAGTGTCGGGGGTCTGGGGGAACATGGGCTTGAGTGGGGGGTGCCTCAGAAAGAGCAAGACGGCGGATGTTTCTCTCTTGGTGTGACCGGTGGCAGTATCGATCAGCAATGCTGCACAGACTTTTGCGCGCCGAAATATGCGTGCGACAGCTTTAACCTAACCACTTCGTTCGGTGGAAAGCGGATTTCTGTTCGATACGGTGTCAGGGGTACCAGGGACGACGGGGCAGAGTTTGTTTGATTATCATTTCGGGTGGATGAGATTGGGGTTTTGTCCGTTTTTCTCCATCTAAGATTCGTGCCTAGAGTTCAGCTGTATGTAGTGTTTCAACCAAAGTTTTGTTGACTTAGAGGCAAACATTCCTAGCTATTGGGCATCGAGTAAATTTGGCTTGGCGTGACGGCCTTTCTTTACGATCGACTTTTTACGTATGTCTGCATTTATCTGCAATTGTCGGAGGGCAAACAAAATCAGCTTTTACAGGAGGACATCAACGCAGTAGTATTTTAGCAAGCTTACGAACGCATATAGGATACCATCAGGATTGTCATTGGTTTTATTTCAAGTTGAAGAGGAGATATTTTTACGATGTAAATGACAGTAGAANCAAAAATAATAATAATAATAATAATAATAATAATAATAATAATAATAATAATAATAATAATAATAATAATAATAATAATAATATCATCATTATTTTGTTATTATGCGGTTGCTAAAGCAGAAAAAACAAAACGTTAATGCCACTACTAATTTAAGTAAAAAATACAGCAGAATCCATCCGCCAAAAAAAAGATGGATAAAAGCCTCTCTCTCCCATCTCTCTCAGTGCAAAATCGTCTAAACGGATGATTCACTCACTCACTCACCTCTCTCCTCCTCCTGTTGCAACATACATACATAAAATACATACATTCATACATACATACTTCATATGGTCCGTTCGGGCAAATATTCACAATATTTTCCCCTGCACAAAGGTGCACTTTTCTCGGGGTGGGGGTACTTATTCCGAAATCTGAAAATACCGCGTAAATCGACGTTTCAAGGCGCATCTCCGTACGGAGGTTTTTTTTTTTTTCGTCCTTCGCTCGATATGTTCAGATATTCAAGAAATCTTGCTTACTTTCTGGAGGGCGGTGTTTTTGCAGACACAAAATCTGAGGCCGGATTTGGACAGCTCTCGTGATTTGCCACCGATGATTTTTTTCCGATTTCCAATTTGACAAAAAATAACAGAGTTATGGGCAAAAAACCGGATATTGGAGGGTATTTTGCTTAGTTTCTTGGGGACAAGCCAACCGTACGATTCAAAAATAAATTGCTGCAATCGATTCCTCTCGTGATTTCCCACCGATGAGTTTTTTTCCGATTTGAAAAAAAAGCGAGTATTTCAGATGGATCCAACCTAGGGGGGGAGGAGTCTGAAATTGGTGTTTATTGGAGTTGATGAGAAGTGAGCATTTATTATTGTGTGCAAAGAGGATGTCTGCGTGCGTATAGAAGAGGAGGCATGCGCACTGAGAGAAGGCAGCTGCCGCAGGACATTCTGTTTGCGCCCGATCACGTTGAAGCATCATCAGTGCTGGAGCACAGGGACTGCTAAACGTACGAGCGGACAACACTGCCAGCTACTACCTGTTAAGACGTTCTGTTCCGGGGAGCTAGTGTTGTCGTCTTTG